CCTCGTACGCGGGGCGTACATCAGAGATGACGTCACGGTCTCCGGTCTTCGGATGGGACGGCAGTAGAGGGGTAGGGGCGACGTGGCCGATCCGAGGCCCTCCATTCAGTACGCTGGGCGTACTCCGAAGTACGCTGGGCGTACTCCTTCGGATAAGCCTCGTAATGCGTGCCAAAAACTTCAAAAACGTGTAACTTTCGCATACGAGCTCCGTTTTTGACGTTCTTTATATCCACGCGTAGGTGAGAATATACTCTACAACTTTCATTTAGACTTCGTCGGCTAGTTTTGAATTTATTTTTAATTATATTTTATTTAATAGGCCGGGACAGGATAATTCCGTTAAAAATCCATAACTTCTTCATCCGATGTCCATTTTCGTCTGTCTTTTTACCATTGTACTACTATTGTAGAGACCTTCAACTCTCGTTTAGGTTGCGTCTGCTAAAAATTGCTCGATCTTTATTTCGAGTTTTTTAGCTGTCTACTGCTGTTTTGAAACTTAGAAAAATCATAACTTCCTCATACGAAGTCAGATTTGGGCGTTCTTTTTATGTACGCTCACGGTTTAACATAATCTACAACTTTCGTTTAGATACCTAAGGCTAAAAAGTATTTTATTGAAGTTTCACTTTTTACGTTTAACAGTGTTTTGCCGGTTGTGTCGCGGGATTTTCATTTGGTCATAACTTCTTCGTTATAACTCGGATTTGAGTGTTCTTTATATTTTTGGAAACCTTGACACGATATCTAACACTTTATGCATCCCAATTAAGTTTTTAGAAGACTTCATTTTTGACGCTATTTTCATTGATTCCAAATAGTTCATTATATTTGACTTTTTGAAGGTTACATTGACTTGAAAAATATCGGGTTGTCACAGATGACTTGTCCAAGTGAGAGACTACTGGAAAGAGTGTACAAGGTCGCTAACTAATGGTAATATTTCTAATAATAGCAAAGTCATTTTTGGGTTGCCCTCACGGCCCATTTGAGCAAAATAAATAAGGAGAAAATACGTTTATTAAGTTATTATAATTTAATAAATTAATTGGAAATTATTTTGAAATTAACTAAATGGTTTTAATTAATAAAAGGATATGAATATTAGTTAGTAAAAGATTGACTATTTGGAATGTTCCAGAACCGCTAATGATAAAAGGAAATTCGAAATTCACTCCACCCCACATGGGATGGGAGATGAAATTTGATATTCAATCCATCACACATGCGATAGGAGATAAAACTTAGATAAAGATCTAAGGCTATAAATATGGTGTTAGATACTCTCATTCTCTTTTCTTATTGTCTTGAAGATTTCACAAACTCCTTTCTTTCCTTCTATGAGACGATTTCCAAACTCTTTTAAGGTTTGTTGAGAACAATCCTTCTCCTAGATTATTTTGGTTCCGCTATATTGGTTTCTTGTGTGTGATTCCACTAGAAGGATTCCTCCTATAGGTCCAAACATTCATGCAATATGGAAAGGACAAGATCGCATGCTAGAAAGATTATAATTGCAAAAGAGGTATGTAATTCTATATATCTAGTAGTTGTTGTAGCAGTTTGAAACCTAGATCATTATAGGTTGCATGTATATATAAGAATTTAGTTTAAGTCTTTTGGTGTCATATTTATGTGTATAGATTGTTAGAAAACCCATCAACAATCATAAATTTGTTGGACACTCTATAATATAGTGATTGTCTTATAAATGAATAATCTGCAAAAAATGCTCAAATTTATAGATCCTTAACAACTATCCTTAGGTTTCTCAATAATATTCTGGATATTAGCAAAGTTGATTACAGAAAAATTGCATGATTTTAGGTTTCAGTTAAACTAAATTACATTTTCGGTTCCCCAGACTAATTGAGTTTTGTAGTTTTTAAAAAGTTTTGTCTTACGATTTTAGTCATTATTTGAGGTTTTGGTTACACTTTTTTTTTGTCCCCGATTATTAATGATTTGTGAATTTTTGGTCCCAAAAATATTGTTAATTTCTGTGAATAGGGGCAAAAAAAAGTTACGAAACCTCAAATAAGGACCAAATTTGCAAGAGAATTTTTTTAGAACAAAATTGCAAAAATAAACTATACTCAAACGCCAGAAAAAGTAATTTACTCTTTAACAAAATGTGTACTTACATGTTGAATTTGGAAAATTATTGTTGCAAGAGGTTGAATTTGATTTTGGGCAAAAACTCTAAGAACTTATAACATATGCTATATAAGATGCAATAATCATAATGGAAACTATAATAGCAGTATCTGGTAGTATACGAGATGCAAGAATCACAATGGAAACCATAATAGTAGTATCTGGTAGTAACTATTTAATAGATCGTGATTACCATTAAATTTTATTTTAATTAATGACTAACGGTATGATTTATTGTTTGTTAAATGTTCAATGACATTACATATAGTAGAAAGTGGGTTGATTGCGAAGATTGTGTTATAATTTCAAGTTTTTTGCTTAAAATGAGAACTTTTATGTTCTTCAAAAAATTTTATGTTCTTAAAATGAGAACTTTTATTGTACTTTGAAAAAAACTATGAAATTATAGTTGTTTTATCACGATATTAAACAAGTCGTTTATACAACTATAATTGAGTACATTTATATAGTACAATGCCTCGGAAAAAATTGCAATACAATGCTACAATTGAGTGTATTAATGCTTTAAATAGATGAAATGAAAGTAAGATGTTATAAAAAACATAATAATAAAAGTATAGTGCCAGAACCTTAAATAAGAGGGTTAAATACAAAATATATATCATATTTTCATTTATTAGTTTATTATGGCATCCTACTTCTATTATTACAATATCGGAAACTGAAAAAATCTACCCAATTATATATTTCTGCTTAGTTTTTGAATGCTATTGCTTTATTTAAACATCTCTTCCAAAATAATAAGAATAAAATGAAAGTATTATGCTATATTAAACAAATTTACAAAACTATGTTGTTATTTTTTCTGTTTAATCCTTTTTAGGGTTCCCGTCGTATCGATGGCAAGTGGTGGCAACCCCTAATTATTTTTAGAAATTATTAATAACGGAAGAATGTTCATGATGAATATGTTATTGTTAGATAAAATTAAAACAAAATTACAAAAATGGTCCTTATGGTTTGTCAAAAGTCTCAAAGTTAGTCCCTGCTAATTTTTTTTGACGAACATGGTCCCTGTGGTTTCCAAAACTTACATGAATGACCTTTTTGCTGACGTCGTTACTGTTCATCCGTTAGTGTAAGGGTATTTTGGTCTTTTCAAGTAGCAGAGGGTGAGTTTGTGACTATGGGTAACCATAGGGACCATTCATGCAATTTTTTTTCTATATTTTATTTTTATGAGTTTGTGGCTTTTCCACTCCTTTACTTTTTAAAATATTACTTTAAACCCTTCACTTTAAACTTTGAAAAATGTTACTTTCACCCATCTATTTTCTAAATTTTCGTGTTTACCTTGTATTATATATAATTTGATTTTTATTTATAACTTTCATTCGTTAACCTAAAAAAACTAATTTTACGTGTTTATTTTTATATATTAGTCGGTATAATTCAAGGTGGTCAACGTTTCGACTTTAATTTAGAACTTTCTTTTGTTATTAGTATTATTTTTTAAATTACATTGTTTTTTATATAAACTTTTCGATTTAAATTCGACTTTGTCTACGTTTCGACGTAGTTTTTTTTAAACTTTATGTACGTTTCCTACGTATGACACGGGTCACATATAATAACTTTCGTTTGTTAAATTTAAAAAACGTATTATATTCGAGTCTTTCTACGTTTCAATGTATATTTTGTACATTTTTGTGCTTAGTTTTATATACATTCCTACGTATCATTCGGGTCACAGATAATAACTTTTGTTCATTAGGTTAAAAAAATGTATTATATTCGAGTTTGTCTATGTTTCAATGTAACTTTTTTTTCACGTTTTTTTACGTATCAGTATAGATTCGAGTTCGTCTACATTTCTACATAATTTTTTTTATGTTTCATGCTTATTTTTATGTACGTGTTTTTTTCGTTCGTGTTTTTTTACGTCGAAACGTAACTTTTATCAATATAATCGTCAAAATTCAACTTATAAAATTCAATGTTTATAATTACGCTTTTATCTATTATATGTGAACAAACCCACACGTAGGAACATATATAAAATAAGCACCAAAATGTACAAAAAAATTCGAAACATAAAAAATAAAGAAAAAGAAAAACTCAAATTTATATCGACACGTGCATAAAAATAAGTAAGTAAGATTTTTTTTAAGTTAACGAACGAAATCTTATATATTAAAAAACGTATAGTATGTGGCCCGAGTCAAACTCGAATTTAAACCGACAATTTTATAAAATAAAAAAACCATGTAACTTTAAAAAAAAAATAACGAAAGAAAGTTCTAAATTAAAGTCGAAACATTGATCACCTTAAATTATACCGACAAATATATAAAAATAAACACATAAAAATAGTTTTTTAATTGAAGGAACAAAAGTTATTATTAAAAATTAAATTATATATAATACGAGGTTAAACACGAACATTTAGATAATAGAGAGGTTAAAGTAACATTTTTCAAAGTTCAAAGTGATATTTGAAAAAGTAAAGGGGTCGAAAAGTCACAAACTCATTAACATAAAATATAGAAAAAATTATATAAATGGTTCCTATGGTTCACCTATAGTCACAAACTCGGTCTCTAATACTTGAAAAGACTAAAAATACTCTTACACTAACCGATGAACAGTAACGACGTCAGCAAACAGGACCATTCATGTAAGTTTTGGAAACCACTGGGACCATGTTCGTCAAATTTTTTTAGCAATGATTGACTTTATGACTTTTGGCAAACCAGAGGAGTGGACCATTTTTGTAATTTTGTCTAAAATTAATGAAGACATTATCCATCAAAAACAAATATTAAAAAGTTTTAAAAACAAATAAATAAACAACGAGGGAAACGATTTATTCACCAAAACCACTCTCTATACTAATCAAAAAGTGCAACTTGAATTGCTCACTTGGCCACTTGGGTATACATCATTGATCATACCACTATTTCCTTTTTACATTCTAACAAATATATAAATTAATTTACAGTAAATACAAAATATTGATCGACATCTTCTCCTCACCACTCCATCAAATCATCACTCAAGGTAATAAAATTACTATAATTTTACATATCGATAATCTATAGTAGTAGAGTTTTGAAATTTCGGACTAATTGCAAGGGCATATAAGAACTGAATCTATCGAAAGACCACCTTTAGTGTGAGTACAATCGATTTGTGTCAAAGAAAACGTCACCCTTGTGGGTATGTTGGAGTCATCGACGATGAAATCTCCGACACGGTGGTATTCCCAGTTTCCGGTTGTCTTCAAGAACCTCTTTGAAACAGCATGCTGCCCGGTGGACGTTGCGAGCTTGAATTCCACGGGTTTCGCGTCCCATCCATGGACGTCCTCCGTGCTGCAAATTGGCCGGCCGTGTTTTTTTATCACCTTCCCTAGCCGGAGTTTGAATGACAAGGAGTAAGTTCCCGCCGGAAACCGGAACTCAACGTCGCCGTCGACTTCCAGCCACCAGGTTTGCTTAAGGTATGAAACCGTACGGAATCTGGCAAAGGAATATGGAATTAAATCCAGTCGTCATGATCAAGAATGAAATTAGCATACAGAATAGAAGAAATGTTCACCTTGTTTCATCGGAAGGAATCTGATTCCAGTATCGTCGATCAGTGATTCCGGTGATTGTTAATGCTTTTGAAGACACTGATACGCACACACCTCCCGTCGTCTTGTCCACCCAAAATTCCTGAAACATAATTGTTAAAATCTCATATATAACCCTAATTTACTGTGATTCTGAAATTCGCAAGTGTGTAGAAAAAGAGGTTGGAGAGAAATGGAACCTTGTTTCCGGCATCGAAGGGCATAGGCCGAGTCAACCTAGCAAAAATCTCCTTTTCTCCCACTTTTTTCTTGTCGTCAATCAACAATTTTCCGACGAGATAATGATAATTAGACGGCAATTTAGAGATCCAGATGAAATCGGCGGACGAAGCTGCTCGAAATGCACGGTTGATCCGAGCTAATTTGCAGATCTCCGGCGGTTCCAAGTAGGATAAAACTAGCGCTACACAGGATTCCGGTAGATCGCCGAGGTTAGGCTTTGATGGATTGTCAATTCCGTCGGAGATATCCGAGCTTAATAATGACGTATTAGCACCCATGGTTTTGTCCAAAAGAGGGAACGTATGTAAGCGTGGGGTTACGACTTGGTGGCCGACGGCGGTTGTATTGGCCGTTGGATATGGAGGATTTTAGAGAAAGAAAGGTTTAGGTGGTGTATTGTGTGAGAGAGAAAGAAAGAGCCACTGTGTTGGTTGAGGTGGAAGAAAAGGGCAGGTGGGGTGTGCTTTATCCATGACAAAAGAGTAATGACGTGGAATTACATTTTAATAAATAAGGAGGTTTTTAGTTAAACTTTTTAAAACAATTTATTAGTTTATTAGAAGTTAATCACAGCTAAGTTAAAAAAATATATTTAGATGAAAATAGTTTATTTCCATAAGGAATCTCTAATAAATCATTTTTTTCGTATGTTATCCCACATTTACTTATTAGCTTATAATCTAATAAGCTAATAAGCAATTTTTTTTTTTTTTTTGCCAAATACCCCTAAATATAAAAAGGCTTATATTTTTCGTTTGAGATAATGACTTGAAAGGGTAATGGACTTTCGATTTTGTTCACATTTAGTCATTAAACTTTTTTTCATTATCTATTTGTCATTGAACTATTGAAATTGTTCATGTTTTACCCTTAAGGGTAAAATGTGAACAGTTTCAATAGTTCAGTGACAAATAGATAATGAAAAAAAGTTTAGTGACTAAATGTGAACAAAGTCGAAAGTCCATTACCCTTTCACGTTATCCTAATATTATACCCCGAAAAATGTATAAAAAACGAATTATTTCATCACGCTCTTTAACTTGTTCCTAACTATTTCTAGTTATTAAGGGTTACCCAAAAAGTATTTTGTTTTTAATTCATAAAGTTATATCAATTTAGTATTGACCTTAGACACCTAATCTAACATTATTGACTATCAATAGGGTGTTTTGATTCTATCTGAATATCGATGCTCAACTTCATGTTTGAGTTGATGCAAGTTAGCTTGAAATCTTTATAAAAATGACATCCTTAATGTAAATCCAATAGTTATTTATAATAGATTTAAAATTGATGTTGTTGCTTAGTTTTAAAGAATCAACTTCTTTTCCTCTCTCATATGTTGTTGGTTAGTTCATTGGACAGTTTCAGTTTATATTTGACTCTGTGTGTCCTATACAAAATTGGTCAAGAAAAGCTATTTTGTGTATGTTTAAAGTAAAAATATCATATTGTTCTTTATCGTGTTTTCTTCTTTAATGAAAATAAAATGCTTTAAACTCACAGACAAATTAATACTATACCATTTTATTTTTAAAATACAATCGTTAAAAATGAAAAAAAAAAAAATAAAAAAAAAATTCTAACTAACGAGGGAGAATTCCTATAATAACTTTTTACATACGGGGCTACTTTTAAAAACTGTAATATAATATGGACCATTTATGTATCTATATATTTGACCGTATGTATGTTTTCAACTATATGTATGTATATGTTAACACACGTTACATACGAAAAATTAAAAAAATAATAATATTAAAAATACTTCTAAATGTATGTTGTGTGTAATATGAAAATTTTGATATCCTTTTTAATAATAAATATACTAATATGATGTATGTCAATACATGGAGTATAACAACATATATAATGTATCAATGTATGTACGTATTCTTTTATAAACAACGTATATGGTTTAATGTATGTCAATTTATATGTTGCATAATTTTATAACACAAAATTCATACATATAATATTAGGATAATTTTTATACATATAATATTGCATAGTTTTATAACATAAAACTTATACATATAATATTGGTTTTGTTTTTCGTTTTTTATACCTTTTTCGGGGTATAATATTAGGATAATTTGAGAGGAAAACGAACTTTTGACTTTGTTCACATTTAGTCACTAAACTTTTTTTATTTGCCACTAAACTATTGAAATTGTTCACATTTTACCCTTATGTCGTGCTGTTACCGGTCATAAGGGTAAAATGTGAACAGTTTCAATAGTTCGGTGGCAAATAGATAATGAAAAAAAATTTAGTGACTAAATGTGAACAGAGTCGAAAGTTCATTACCCTTTCAAGTCATTATTGAAAGATCTAGTGTGCTCAAGAGTCATATTAAAATGATATTGCTAAATAACATATGATACTAATGGGTCACACTAACAACAACTTGATACAATTGATTATTTATTAGAAATTGATTTTAATAAATATTCAATAAAACTCTTATAATTAAATTGGAAATAATAATTTTCATCAGCAAGTAACATTATATTATGAGTAAATTGTTGGATTAGGTGTCTAAGCACATAACTATTATTGGTATGTATTCGACCCGAGAGTAGCATGGTCCATTTGGGTTGCATATCATCAGGACAATTTGTTAGGATGGACTTTTGAGAGAAGGTTATTTATGGTTTATTAATATATTATAAGTAATAATATATTGATATGAAATCATATGTTTTAATTAGTAGTGATCAAGAATTAATTTGGAATTAATTTAGTGGTCGAAAGAGACTAATTAAATCTATGGGGACTAATTATGATAATTAGTTATATTTATATGTGTTGGGCTTATGATCCATGTTGAACCAAGTTTATGTATGGATACATAAAGAGTTGGGCCACATGAACCATGGATCATAAAACCCATGGGTATGGATTTGGGTTATATCCATGACCCTAGAAATCCCACATATAAATAGATACTTCATTGCCCAAAATCGCCACTTGTATCTTTTTAGAGTTCATGGTGTCTTTTGTGTGCATGGAATTCTCTCTCAAGTTCATCCTTTGTCCATGGTGTGTTGTGATTCCATTTGAGGCTTCCACACTATTGGGGCTAAGCTCTTTAAGGCCAAATACACCAAGAATTCAAGCTCCATCAAAAGGTATGTCATGCTAACTAGTATATTATAATTTTATGTTAAATGCATGCTAGTTGTAAGATTAATACCTTGGAAACCATTTGCATGTATAATTAGTGAAAACATAGATCCAAGGTATTTAGGGTTGTATGTGCACCATAGGATGGTGTAGTATACCAAAACCCAACAGTGGTATCAGAGCCATGGGTTGTTTTCAATTATACTTGATGCAAGTTGCTGAAAAAAAACTGAAAAAAATCGAATTTTTTGCTGTCGGGACAACAGACTCGACGAGTCCATGAACAAATTCATCCAACTCGTCGAGTTGGTTCATGCACTCGACGAGTTGGACCCCCTGACAGCTTATCTTCGAGTTTTTTGGCCTGTTTTGGATTAGAATCATTACCGCAAAGTGTTTTTGTTCATAAAATTTGTTTTTTGATACTATGGTAATGTTTATTCTTATCCAAATAAAGGATAATAATCAAAGTTTCAAGTTTTATACATGTTTATATGATGCTTGAAAAATGTTGATTATGAATGTTCATGTTTATGAGTTTGTTTAGATTAATAGGAAAAATTATGAGATAGTTGTTTTCAATCCAAATTAATCTTGAAGTTGTTCATAATATGTGTTTTTGTAACTTGTCCTCAAGTTACATGAAAAGTCACATTTATGAATTTTAAAACCCAAAAAAATTCCATAAGTTATGAAAAAATGAAGAGTCACATTTTTAATGCTTTTAAAGTCTTCCATAACTTGTCTACAAGTTATGGAACTTGAAGGGTTTTTTCCATTAAACCACTTTAAAATTCATAAGTTATGGAAACCATAAGTTTTTTGAATTGTTCAAAACTTGTCCTCAAGTTTTGGAATTTGTAAAGTCAAACCCCATATACACTTTAATTCCAAACCCAAGAATTTTGAAAGTTAAAGTTCAAAATTTATGGACTTCATTAAATTAATTAAAGTGTCTAATTAAAAGAGTTAATAATTCCATAAAGACATGGTTTAAGTTTAATTAAATTAAGAGTATAGTTTAATTAATAGATTAAACCACCAAGTATTTTAAATGTTTAAAATACACCCTTATACTATTATAATATTAATAGTTAATACTTATATATATATATATATATATATATATATATATATATATATATATATATGTATAAGAACAAAGTCAGTCTTACCATTAGTAGGCCTCATTCACGAAGCCGGTCTATAAGGGGGGTATAAGGTTACTGCCTATAAAATGGCAGTTTAATGGGTGTCCACTCTCACCCACCGCTTCCTTGACCGGTGGAGGGTCGTTAGCCGAACGGGTAGGACAAGGACTATAATTCTCCCTTCATTAAAAGTATTAATGATAAATACTAAGTAACTAAACCTTTTATAAATACCCAATCTTAGTTACTTAAAGAAAAAGTGAATAAGGTGCTAATCCATGAAATTACAATTTGCACTTTGTTTAAGTCGGTTAGTGGAATGTGTGTGGTTAACCGGCACACTAACTCGTATTTAACAAGGTAGGCAAAGGGTAACCTAATGTTTATCATAGTATCGATGGAGCGTGTGTGGTTAACCGACACATCGATTGAGGGGTAAACACTTAAGGGTACCAAGTAATTTGCATGGTTACTTCACACCTTGTTTTGTGATCCTCGGCATCCCAATCACAAAACCTGAAGGGCACACTCGAGATTGAAACATGCCATTGAACAGTTCAATGAATCTCAAAGATCTAGGAGTTTCAAAAACCAATTAAAACCTAATAATATATATTTCGTTTTCATGGTGGAAATTGGTGAATCGTCATTCGCTTACCTTCAAATATTTTATAGCTTGGATTACGGCATCCCTCTTCCAAGTTATAAAAGTATTGTGTTGGGTCTTAGCCTTAATATTTCATATTGGGTGTTATATTAAGGACTTTAAATCAACTATCTTGAGTATCTCCCAAAAGATGTCTGGTTTAGACATTTATGATCATCCCAAATCTCTTGAAACAAGCTTTCCTAAATGAAGATGATGTCCCATGGAAATCATACTTCTTTCACCTCCTCCAATTATTCTCCCTAACCCACAAGTTCCTGAAAAGTTTAAGGGCACTCAAGCCCTATTGGCAAGCAAAGGTCTATGTGTGATCACATCTTGGAGATGTAGTCACATATTGACAAGCCGGGAGAGTTGGGTGTCAAAGTCTTGAGAAAGTTGGTGGCTCACCTACTTTCTAAGTCACATAGTGAGTTCTTTTGGAACACCTATGAAACAGACTATGACAAGACCCTTAATGATCTTATCTATTTGCTAAGATCAACTTCCTAAAAACTTTATGGACATTGGCAAT